GAGTTATACGAGATACGTACGTACACACGTACGTACATACGTTCGTACAGACGCCACGAAAAATTCTCTTCAGGATTAATTTTAAAGCAGTTTTATAATTTTTTTGGAGGAAACGTGTCTTTTATTCTGTCCTTACGTACAGATATCAAGCAAAAACATTGTTAAATGGCATTCGATAGCTGTCAAAGTGGATATTTTCGTTGAAATATGCTGCCTGAAACTTTTCGCGATTACAATACTTCCTTTTTACTTCGTACAAGGAAGTCAAATTGCCCTCATTTTTCCGAGACACAACAGTGCTGATATCAGCAACAGTGGCAACAGTGATACAACAGCATCAATGCCACGCAGTCATCGTTGCTGATAGAGAATTATCGATTTGATGCGATTCATCAAAAAACATAAAATTAAAAAAAAAACCTTTCGAATTTTGAAAAACTCGCTTCGAGGTGCACTGGCTCTTGGCTAGATGCATCCTATGTACTAAATTTTGGAGCCCTGGGTCTATTAGCTTACGCGCGGCACGAACGAAAGACACACACACACACACAGACGAACAGACCTCGTCCTGTTATATACTATATAGATGACAACCTGATACCCCCCGCTTTGCTGGGCACGCGATCTATTTGAATGTAAACCTAGACTTCTTATATGAACGAAATGTCTAATTTCGAATGGATAATTAATGTACTTATTTTTAATTTAAAGTCGGGAAATACAGTACCAGTCAGTGAATCTTTCATACGCAGATTTCTCTATCAGCCATGAGGTACTGTGTACTGGGATGCGTCCCAATTATTCAATGTGGCGGGATCCCCAGTAGGCCTACACCTCGAAAAATTACCAACATAAAACTAAGGTTTATATATATTTAACTGTTATCATAAGTTTCATGAAAATAAATGTTACTATCTTTATTATCAAATTTTAATCAATTATTTGTCCTTGATTTTTTTTATGTATGGCAGTTTTTATAAATAACAACAACATTTTTAATTTTCATCACAATAATTTATTTCTTCTAATAATAAAATTTTTTTCATGAAACTAATGATAACAGTTAAATATAAATGTTATTAATAACCTTATTTAAATGTTGTTTGTATTCATCGGACAGATGCAAGTTATTTGCCAATTTAATAATTTGAAAGGAAAATGCATTCATTGGAAACATTGTATTTCACATCTTGTTTTGGCAACAATAAAAGAAAATTCTGAACTTGTATTTGAAAACCAAATGTATGAGAAACTTCTTTTGCATAACAAAAATCCATTTTGGACGGGATATACGTAAAATCCTTTCTTAGTGCGCGTCTACATCGTGGAATGAGTAACTATGCAAAATTTCAAGTCAACCGGGTGTATAGTTTCGGAGATCTCAGGATGTGTCAGTGGTATTTCGCTCATATATATAGAGAGAGATATATAGATAGATAGATAGATAGAGAAATGGTGGCTTGAAGTTTTAAATCTAGACTTAATTTTTCGATTTGATTTTATGATTTAATTTTTTTAAACTGTTTAAACCAATTCCGCTTATGCGTTGAGCATTAAAGTTAAATTAACTTCTTTCTTCAAGTGAAGCTTAAGGGTAGAGATGGTCTAGAATCCCACTGAAGCATATCTTCTGCAGAATAGGAAGAAGTAGTCCGCACTTATGACGTATTGTGCACTGCAAATCGACACCATTTAAAGAAAGATTCACCGCAAAATAAAAGCATGTCAGTCGTGCACACAATCTGTGAAATGCCACCTTTTTTTTTCTGCATCTAACAATACTTGAGGCTTTTTTTTTATTTTAACGAAGAAATGCATTCACAAAAGAAAAGAATATATAAAGAAACTTTTATTTTAATGGAAAAATATTTTTATACAAAACGAAGTATTTATATATATATACAGAGATGATAGATAAAACATATGCTGCCATCAATTTGAGGGTAAAAATTTTAGCATGAAAATGTATGATTATATCCAATAAAATCAAAGAAAAAATAACAGAGAAGGGGTATATTGTAATCAAACAAAATTAAGGTTTCAAGAAGCACTGATTTGTGATTTCAAAATTATTATGCACACCGATCAATGACCTCCTTTTAATGACTTTTGAAAAAATAACGCAATAATTTATGTCTCTTAATCATAATATATAGTAGCTGATATACCACAGTAGAGCTTGACATATGATATAGTAGAATATAGTACAGTTGATAAGTTGTTGTTAATATTCACTTGTCTGTCCTATAATCAGCCCAAGCCAAGAATTTCCTCGTGGCAAGGAGCGCAAGTTTTCGCATGTCGTTGGCAACAGCCTTGAGCACCATATGGGTGACAGTGCTATTTATCTCAGTTCCTCCCCCAATTTTGATGGAAGAGACAAGGGTCCAAGGATCTCCCCCCATCTTCCCCCACCATAAACCACTCGAGATGACTTCAGGCTTGCCACATATTAAAAGTGCCTCCATGCCGCACAGATACTATACATTTACAAGCATAGACCTTCTCCGGGATTCGAATCCGGGCCCTTCGGCACAGCAATCAGCGACGATAATCACTATACCAGTTGGGTGACTAGAAGTAAAATAGTATAGTAAAGAATACTAAAATTTCGCTTGAAATCAATTTTGCACTTCGAAAGAATGAAGGTTAATATAGTATCATATTTTTATATCATACTAGCTTATAAAAGCAGGATAAAATATCTTAGACGATAAAAGCTGACTTAATTTTTATCTTAAATTATTAATCTGTTTAATCGGATTCATAATTTAAGATAAATTATTAATGTTTATTCTTTAATAAATTATTTATCTTTACTAATTGTTAATCTGATTAATAATTATTATCTGATCCAATAATTTATCTTAAATTATTATTTTTAATAAATTATTTATCTTACTAACCTTGTTTAATCTGATTAATAATTTAAGATAAATAATTGATTATTAATCTGTTTATTGCTTTCTAAGTAAAACGACAGGAAGTTCGCCAAATCCAATTTTGTCCTTCGAAAGATCATATTTTAATCATACTAGCTTATAAAAGCAGGATAAAATCTTAGGACGATAAAAGCTGACTTAATTTTTATCTTAAATATTATTAATTTTAATTGATTCATAATTTAAGTTAATTATTAAAGTGTTAATAGTAATTTTTATCTGAAATTATTAATCTTAATAAATTACTTATCTTTACTAATCTTTTTAATCTGATTAATAATTATTATCTGATTAAATAATTTATCTTAAATTCAATTTTAAAATCAATTTTGTCCTTCAAAAGAATGAAGGTTAGTATAATCTCATATTTTATATCATACTAGCTTATAAAAGCAGGATAAAATATCTTACACGATAAAAGTGACTTAATTTTTATCTTAAATTATTATCTGTTTAATCGAATTCATAATTTAAGATAAATTATTAATGTTTAATAAATTATTTATCTTTACTAATCTTGTTTAATCTGATTAATAATTATTATCTGATCCAATAATTTATCTTAAATTATTATTTTTTAATAAATTATTTATCTTTACTAACCTTGTTTAATCTGATTAATAATTTAATCTTTAATAAAAGATAAATAATTTTAAGATAAATTATTAATTATTAATCTGTTTTATTGCTTTCTAAGTAACAAACGACAGGAAGTAAGTAAAGGGTACTAATATTTCGCTTCAAATCAATTTTGTCCTTCGAAAGAATGAAGGCTAATATAATCTCATTTTTATATCATACTAGCTTATAAAATCAGGATAAAATATCTTATAAGATAAAAGCTGACTTAAAATGACGACAGCCTGTCGTTAAATATTGCAACCTCTCGAGAGATTAGTATAGGGAAGCAAAGGTGCGAGGCCCTCAAAGTCCATTCGCATTGACATTTCTGTTAATATTGAACTCTTATATAGCCTTATTGGTTTTGCCTAAATAATTTTATGAAACATGTGAGTAAAAAGAACCAGAGTACGAATTCCTTATTCACTTTTCGTTACAAATTATGCACGTTTTAATGTAAAAATGAAATATTATTATCATTTGTATGAAGCTCAAGTATTGCAGATAATGTACATTTCTCCCTCTGCAAGAGATATAGGCATTAATTACAACACTCTTAATCTACTGAGTGTTATTTTATATTTTTATTTACACAACATTTGGTTTATTTTAAACACAGAAACGTTATAATTCACACTAATAAATGTAAAAAAAAAATGTTAAAATTTGTTTTCTATGTAATATGTCAGAGATGTGTTAAATATTGCAGTCTGATGATTGTAATATGCGTAAATTTGTGTCTGAGTTATTCTATATTCATTTGAAAGTGTAAGTAATTTTTTAAAAAATTTAAACATCTATTAAAATATTTTTTGTAAATGGACCTGTATCAGTCTCAAATCCTCCCAAAACATAGCTTACGTGTAACAGCCTCCAAGATAAGGTTTTACAGTATAGTATTACCTTTTCCCTTATGCAAACAGCTCACGAGGGTTATCTGCGTAAAGGGAAGGATGCCTTCGTAGAGGACTTTCCAAGGAAAGCTGACTCTCATTTACGTTATCCAAGTAAAAGTTTCTATTGTTTTTTAAATTTTGAAAGAGCTTGAAAACTTAAATCATATGCAACGATATCTGGGGCACTTGTAGTATCTTCTCAAATCCAGGGAAGCATTATTATTACAGATTGGCATGCTCAGACAAATATCATCAGATTTCTAATTTTTTTAAATAACACCTCGTCCTCATTCCTTTCCTAGTGTGTTGATGCATAAAAAAATAAACAAAACTTTTCAGTGTTCGATTTGTTTCATTCAACTTCTTAATATATTTTAATTAAATAATTCATAGAAACTTACATATATAATATTTACTTTCATCAAAATGCACTCTATTCTTCAACGAATAAATATGCTTAAAATCAAAGAAATTGATACATTTTACAAAAATCAATGAATTACTTTTTGTAAAATGAGTAAATCAATCACAGTGTAAATAATTCACTCAACAACAATAAAAACAGTTTATATAGAATCATACTAGTTACAAAAACAGAAATTTATAACAGTATACGAATGACCTTTAAACATTTTTATATAGTATTTGAATAAATTTATAAAATTAACATTCATTTCGATTTATTAAAATAAGTATTTAAAATTTTTAAATTTGAGTATCATAAAATAAAAAAGTCGAAAATTGCAAAATCAGTTCACGCGGAATTTGATGAAATTTATCGATTTCATTAAAATGAAATCAATAAAGTTCTTAATGTTAAGCATTTGTTTATAGCAGCTTGTTACAGCAGGTTATATAACTACCTATGCCGTATGTCCGAAACGTTCCGAGACAAGTTTTCTTCCTGCAATATAATCATAACAGAAATAAAACTGTGAATGTGATTCACGGGTATCATGCATCGGTTGTGCAAGTGAATTCAGTGGAACTCGTCCAAAACTCTGAAAGGCAAAGGATTTCTTCTTGCTGAGGACAATGCCCTTCACTGGACAATGCCCCCTCGTTCTCACTGCTGAAATTATGGTGCAATTTCTAGTGAAGAAAAGATGTGAAAGTTCTTAACCACCTTCTTGGCCACCCGATTTTGCGCCAAGGAACTTCTTTTAATTCCCAAGAATGAAACTTTGCATGGAGTGTCAAAACTATCATGCCTTAACAGACATTCCAGCAATAGCGACATGCAAGTTAAAATCCCAAACAAGGACTTTGCTTTCGGTTTCATACAGTCGTATGAACGACCTGTGCGTTTTATTCAATTAGGAGGAGGCTATGTGAGACACATGAAGCATTGAAATCTTCGTCTTAAGTTTTCTCTAATTTTCATTGATCCAGCCTCGGAACATTTTGGACAAAAAGTAAATTGCAAATTTACTATCCTGCAGATTTTTTCAGATGTAAAAAGAACATTTCATCAATTGATTCTCATTGGTATTCGCCTTTACAAGTTGTCATTTTTATGTCATATTAAAACTTCGGAGAAAATGGCTATAATTTCAACATGCAAATGATATTATGAATGAAAGAACATCAATATTATTAATAAAGGATCCAGCCTCATAAATGATAATACAGTTGGAGGAAAATTAAATGGTTTATAAGTTATTTGTTTCCAGTTTTCCTCCGTTTATTCCGAAACCAGCAGGTATAAACATAAAAAATACTAGTTACACAAAGAGATGTCTAACAAATCATAAAGTTCTTGTTGAATCTCTTTTTTGGAAGCAGCTGAACTGCTGTCCGAAGATCGCGTAAACGTTTGAATGAACAGACACTTTTTAGCGATCATAAAGTCCCTGAATACATTTATCTAACTGGCACTATTTTAATATTATTTAATGTTTTAATATTAATGCTACCAGGCACGATATGGTGGTGGCCTTTGTAGAACCATTGGATTCATGTAAGATGCCGCTGGCATTCTTCTGTAAGGTACAGCATAGAAGGGCGCGCCATATGCAGCTGCCGCTGCAGCCATTGGTGGCGGTAACCGTTGTCGAACAGCTACGTATGGCGGATACCTAGGCCTCACCAGATAAGCTGGATGAGCTGCAGCTGGAACTAGACCCATTCCAGGTCTTCTGTAAGCCATGTAAGCTGGGTGTCGAGCAATGGCTGCAGCAGGATGGTGATGAGGAATACCAGGTTGCCCATACACCCCACTGTCATGGAACAACAGTTGTTGAATGATGGGTTTGTTGCTGGAGCCAGAGCTGGAATGGTGATGATGATCATCATCGTGATCGTGTGGATGAGGATCTCCATAACCACCGGGACCATAATCACCAGGACCATCGTAGCTTCCGCCATCAAATCCTCCTCCACCACCTCCCCCATGACCACTGCCATGGGAGGATTCGTGAGGACCACCAGCATTGATGTGTATTATACGAGTAGTGTGATGAGGTATCCTACAAAAAATTAACAAATTAATGATCAGAAGGACATGTTTATTTCCAAGCATTAGAACAAATCAAAGGAAAATAAAGAATCTTCAGCGTGCAAAGAGGATATCGTTGCAGAGCATAAGAAATTCGTGCAAAAATTAGACTCGCAAGTAGATGCCATTGAAATGAGCCGTATAAATTGCGTGACATTTGTGATGGTGGTACTGACCTAAAACTCTAATCGTGTTTTTTTAACCTCAAATTGTCACTCTCTTTTTAACTCCCAGTCTTGAAAGCAAATTGCTCAAAAAAGAAAGTACTCATAAAAAACAAACTCACCGTGCTTTGTCACGAACAACTTCAATATTCTTTTGCTTGACTAAATTCAGGCAATTGGAATGCAAAGATTCACGATTGCGTGTTGTTTATTTTACTCCAAATGCGTTTTACTCCCTAAGGCTAAGTAATCAGTTATTTTTCTTTATGCAAAATAAAATTATGTTCCAAAGGGAAGATTTTTATTCATGAAAATAATTCGGAAAGTTGGTTTGTTTCTATTTTTAGTTCAAAACGTTGCTAATTGATTTTTGTTTCTAAACATGATTATTTATAAATAGTATATTGCATGAGAAATATATCTCTTTGTTTTTGAGGACGCTAAAATGTAATCCTATGAAGTAATGTTTCTTTCATTTTTAGGTGGCATCTAATTAAATGTTTTTATCTTGCTAATGTTTTTTATCTTGCTAATGTTTTTTTTATCTTGCTGATGTTTTTTTATCTTGCTTATGTTTTTTTATCTTGCTAAGATATACTTTATGTCTGACTTCAAACGTTAGTTGTAATAATAAGTGTTAATTGAAGATATAAAACTCTTTAGTTGCAACTAATCTTTTAGCAATAATTAAGAAAAATCAGTCGTAATAACCGTAATTTAATTATTTTTCTATAATGGAACCTTCATCCACTTAAAATTAATATAAAATACCTCTAACTCTGGTTTCTTCATTCCAAATGTATTGCAGTAAATTAATTTTAAATTTACTAAAACATAATAATCATTATTCAACACACTGATATATCATGTCAATGTATGAGGGAGAATGCATATTCCATTCTGCTTTCAAATTAAAATATGTTGTTAAAATATGAAATCTTATCGCTGTTTGTTGAGACAGTTTTCAAACACTAGTTCGTCTACGCCATATGTAAAATATTTAGAGAACTGGTTACAATGAATATGGAGAAATTTGTATGTTTCACACATTTTAAACTTTCAGAGTTTTACAGAGGATGTTCGCACATTTTTTAGACGATTTTGGTAAGCGGTAATAAAAATTCGTTTGCTGTAAAAGAAGTAATTGCAATTGTACTATGTTTTTAAAAGTTAAAATTATCGTCTGTGGCTTGAAAGTTTTGTTTTTATTCAAAATGGCGAATTTAACAAAGCAGTGGTTCGAAGGCTACATTGACGCTCTTTCCGAAGAGAAATATGCATACTCCGTTATCCAAAAACGATGTGAGAGTCATGGTTTTGAGATATCTAAAGCGTCGATAGGTAATATCATCAACAAGAAAGGAAAAAAAACGTCAAATTGGAGCCTCAAGTGGGACAAAAATTCCAAACAAGTATCCAAGGAAAAAACGGACATCTTCGACTATTGCAAAGGTACGTTGTTTAATGTTAAAAGAAAATCCCCTAGTCAAAGGACAGTTGCAGAATCATTAAAATGCTCGGTGTCCACTGTAAACAAAATGATAAACGTTGATTTAAATCTTAAGAAAGCGAAAAAACGCAATGTGCATCGTCTTCTTCCAAAGCATATCGCTCAACGCAGGGCACGCTACAAAATTCTATATGAGAAACACTTATCCAAAGGAAAATGGAAAACAATTGTCACAATAGATGAAGCATGGGTGTATTTAAATGATTGTAACAGAAAAAGAGCCATTTATTATCATAAAAGTGGAGAAAAAAATTTAAGTACATGTTTCAAAGAATCGAAAGAAAGTTTTTCTAAGGGATTCATGATTGTTGCTGGTTTTTCTTATAATGGCAAGTTAAAAATGTCAAGCAGAATCATTGTTGTATGCAAAAAAGTGTCAAGATTAACTCCAAATACTATCAGGAACATATTTTATCGCCAATGTTTCTGAATAAAATACCATCGCTTTACCCACAGTGCCATCCATCTGTGAGACTCCATCAGGACAAAGCTAGCAGTCACACTTCAAAATCCACTGTAAATTTCCTAAACGAAATGAAACAAATAACTGGTATCAAGGCCATACCCTTCAATGATATCCCTACTAAATCTCCCGATGTAAAGCTAGCAGTCACACTTCAAAATCCACTGTAAATTTCCTAAACGAAATGAAACAAATAACTGGTATCAAGGCCATACCCTTCAATGATATCCCTACTAAATCTCCCGATGTAAAGCTAGCAGTCACACTTCAAAATCCACTGTAAATTTCCTAAACGAAATGAAACAAATAACTGGTATCAAGGCCATACCCTTCAATGATATCCCTACTAAATCTCCCGATGTGTCACCCACGGATTTTTGTGCTTTCAAACTTTTAAAAACTGCGTTATCCAAACATTGTCCCAAAACCCTAACAGGACTCTGGAAAGCTGCTCAGGAGGAATGGTATAGAATAGCTCTTCTGCCACTTCAAAAGGCATTATTATTCTGGAAATTGCGGTGTCAAAAGATAGTTCAGAATAAGGGATGTCAAATAGAACATTTAAAACACAATAATTTTATGTAATTTGGTTTTGTGAATATAATATACATCGTCTAAACAATGTGTGAACAATCTCTGTATAATTGCAAATTGGAGCCGAAATTCAGAATTTGATAATTTTTATAATTCGTTTTTCTCAAATTCAGCAGCGGAAAGATAATAAGTCTGGCTGGTATTCAAAATAAGCGTGCGTTAAGATACGAAGCATTTTTTTGCAGCTAGCGAACTGTTAAAAGTTTAACAAGTTAAAAGTTCAGAGCTCTTACCTACTCGGCTACAGATAGATTAATCATCATGTGGCAAATGTTTAGCAAAGCAAATTCCACATTTGGAGTTCTTCAAATAAAATGTAAGTATGGCATATATATTTAAAGTTACGTGATTTGTTTTAGGTTTCCATTGGCAGTACTTGGTTCTAAATCAAAATTTTTATTGAGCAGTTCTAGTTAGAGGCGAAACAAGTGAACAGTTAAACTAATTATTTAAAAAATGAAATTTAATTAGGAAAGTTATATTAATGTTTAATTTTTTCCATGCATTTCTGTAAAAAAAGTTCTCATCTAAAAGTAAGTAAATTTAATAATTACGAAAATTATGTAAATGTAGAAACGAAAACTCAGAAAATATTCAAAAGCAAAATTTACATTTATTTTGCAAATACTCTAAATCTATTATTATCAATCTATTATGTAATATTTTATTCAATATATTTGTTTAAATTTTTAAATCAAATTTTCAAAATAGCTTGGAAAGAGAAGGCCTAAAACATACATGATAAGCGTTTTATTATCAGATAGATTAACAGATAGCTTAAGAAAAATTCCCAATAAATGCTCTTAAGCTTATCACAGATAAACAGAACTTCACTGTTCTGCTAAATTTCAAATGAATGGAAACAAATATGGCTGCTATAGTAAAAAAAAATAGTGTTAGCCGCACTTAAACAAGTTTTAAATTGTTGGTAATTCTACAACTATTGCATACAGATTAACTAAAGGCATAAGATCTTAACAAGAAGATAAGAAGAACATAATTCAATCATTTTAAAGCAAAAAAAAGTGTGCAATTTACCAACATATAAGAATTTAAAAAACTGAGCTCGTTGAGCCGAATAATAGAATGGGTATGTCTCTCTCTTTATATATATATATTTTTATACTTTTGGCTCGGCCGATTACAACCAAAATACGAGGTTTACAACTACATGTTATATATGTACAGACGCCACGGTGCGGTTGGTACTCTACAACATCACAAAATGCATTATGGTTGCACCAGAGTGACAATGAGCCAACAATACTTCGCACTAACTTATACAAGGAAACGATATTAGATCTGTTAAAAATAATTAAATTTATATTTCTTTTTATTGCTCTTCTTTTAGGGCATTCAGTGGAATAATATTTTGATGCACTAGGCTTTTTTATACTGATTCGAGAAGAGATTTGCATTTGAGATGATTTAAAATGAGATCTTCAAGAGAACTTCAGATTCGGTGAACTCGATGCCATGAAGTTGCAGAGATATTACGTATTTTTTTGGAAGCGGAAGTCATGAAAAATGAGCAGCGCGTTTGCCGGGAATCGAACCGCGGACCTCTGGAATACGCGCCTAGCGTGCAGACCACCACACCACGAAGGCATGCTAAGAAGGCGGGAGAAATACCTTACAAAGTAATCGAGCAATTATAGATACTAAAAAGCCTAAACCAGGTGTTAACTACAGTGGAGTGCGAAAAATATTAAAGAAAAATTGAGCACATGAATAACACACCTGAAACATCCTGAACCTATCAAAGATGAGAATTTTTTATATAACGTTATTATATGTAAATTATTATATTTTATCATTTATTTTAAATACAGTTTTAAAAAGCTCTTTGAGGGGATCTAATTTGTTCTTTTCAATATGAATTTGAATTTACTAGTTTGTAGCAATTAATGCTTTTATGACAAATCTGATTTACGAATACCGTATATTTCTCTGTATAAGCCGAAAATGTTTGGAATTTTCTAGAATAAACCGAGCTTATTCTTAAACTGGAGGGGCAGCTTATCTATGGATCTGCTATCTGCTAAAAACGTGGGTACTTTTCCATTAATCGGGTACAAGTGATAAATCATCAATATAGCGCTTTCTTTAGTTTGTATCTCTTACGTTTCTGAAAAAAAATTAATTTTAAATTACAAAGTATTTTCTCCCTCCTTTCTGCATGCCTTCGTGGAATAGTGGTAACACACTTGGCGCGAACTGGAAAATCACAGGTTCGAGTCTCGGGAAGTGCATTATATATTTATCATATTCTCCAACATCAAAATAATGCAATGTCTGTACAAAATGATATTATTGGGAGAATATTTTTTTCAACGATGAGAAGTTTCGTGATATCATTGCACTGCAGTATTAACTATTTAAACTGTTATCAGTGGAAATGAAATTTCAGTTATTTGAACTTCGATAAAATTCCAAGTTTTCGATAAGTTGGCCAGAACGTTCGCTGAGGCGAACTGTACTAAAAATTAGTGTTCTCTTTTCTGAATACATTAAATTTTTTTAATTCGAAATATTCAGAGCGTTTTTGAGATTTTTTAATTGTGTGTTTACATTTCTTGCTCGATTAGTCGAAGTCAGGTATGCCTTAATAATAGAGATGAAGTCTTTGTAGAAACTTGGAGCCTGAGGTGATTTTATCTTTTACGTAATTTCCTCCAGCAGATAATTCTTGCTTTTGAGAATATTAAAAAATATTTTTTTTAGAATTGTAGTCTGTATTTTTCTTTAGAACAAAGGAATAGCGTGTGATCTGCTTCTATTGCTTTTAGTTCTATGTATCTGAAACTATTCGTTCTATCTATCTGTTCTATGTATCTGAAATTTAATGCATTTTTATAAGAAATCAAACTTTAGCATCTTTTAAAACATGCAAAGCCTGAGAGTAATATTTCTTGTCGTTGAAATAAAATGCAAATACAGAACTAAAATCGTATTTCTTAATTGTAATTACATCTTAATATTTATTTTGCGTGTATTTATTTATATTAAAAATAATAATCTATATATCTTTATATTAACTAATGCACATATCTGGTAGAATCCAGACATTCACCTCCAGTCTTGCTAGTTTGAATTTAAGATTATTCGGAATTTTTTCTCTGACCTTCTTTTTTGGCTTATTATTATTCGACTTAGTTTCGACTTAAATTCGAATTAGTTTCGATTTTTCTATAAATGTGTGGTTCTTTAAAAGAATTTTATGCGTAATCTCGATTGACTAAATTTAATCTTTCTCAATTTAGAATGCCCTCAAAATGTTTGTTTTAAGTCGCAATGTGCTTAGAGATATTGAGGAGGACTTCCTGGAGATTTTGATTCTCATATGGACTCAGGACTTCGTAATTTAACGTTCTGAAGTGTTTTGTTCATATCGCTGCATCTTCAACTATGTGAAAGTATACTAAAATTAGTTATTCTAAAAAATCTTGGACCCGATTGACATGATCTAAATATATTCCTCCTCAATTCAAAATGTCCTCAGAACGTTCTTTTTCAGTAGCAACGTGCATTGACATATTGAAGATTTTCTGGAGATTTTGATTTTCAAATGGACCCAGGACTTCGCAATTTAACATTCTAAAGTATTTTGTTCAAATTGCTATATCTTCGACTATGTGAAAGTATACCGAAGTTAGTTTTTCTTAGAAATCTTGGACCCGATTGACATGATCTAAATATATTCTTCCTAAATTCAGGATGTCCTCAAAATGTTCGTTTTATGCCACAACGTGATTAAACATATTGAGGATTTCCTGGGGGGGGGTTGATCCTCAAATGGACTCAGGACTTCGTACTTTAACGTTTTGAAGTGTTCTTGTTTGTTCAAATCTATATCTTCGACTATGTTTACGTATACTGAAGTTTGTTATTCTTAGATATCTTGGACCCGATTGACATGATCTAAATATATTCTTCCTCAATTCAGAATGTCCTTAGAACGTTCTTTTTTAGTAGCAACGGTGATGGACATATTGAAGATTTCCCGCAGATTTTGACTTTCAGATGTTCTCAGGACAACGTAATTTGACATTCTGAGATGTTTGTTTCCGATTGCTAAGTTTTTGAGTATGTGAAGTTATCCTGAAAGTAGTTATTCTCATATATCTCGTGAATTTCTTCATTTAATTACTTGTGGATGTCCTTGTTGCACTTTTCGGAAGACGTTCACCATCAGACTTTCTGAGGATTTTATTCACATCTCTTTTCACTCATTTTTCGAATCCGCTTGAGGATGTTCTTGGGATAAAATGGGATGTGACATTAAGCATTCGGACATTGTGTTAATAGAATATGCCAAGATGTTCTTGAAATAAGTAGAATGTGACGTTTTATGTCATCCAGATATTGTGCTAATAGAATATGCCAATATGTTTCTAGGTTGCCGTAAATAGGTATTTCAACTCTCGCAACATCTCGAAGTGATTTAGTGAGTATATTCTTTGCTATACACTGGAATGTAACATCAGACACCTGCGAGGACATGCTAAGGGAACAATAATAATATTTGTGAATCGTGCTCCACTATACGGATCGGTTCCAACTGCGATGATCCCATATCATGCAGGAGTTGGGTCTCCAGTCACCGTTCCCCAAGAGGATAATCGTACTAATCATGCTGCCGTCCGTGTCCCCAGTCCGAGACGACAGACTGAAAAGTTCTCTACTACCTCCTGGATGCACGGGGTCACCACTGCCAATTCCCAGGTTTCACAGTGCCAGAGAACATGCATGCCTGGATATTTGACTGGCCATCAGTTGCACCTAGCATTACTGGTCAGGCTTTCGCCCACCTCGATTGAGCCAATGAAGTTTCGTCTAAAGGTATATTCCAGCCGGTCACATGCCAGGCGATTGATCTTATACCCCGTGGCCGAGACTTCCTAAGTACAGATCCTATTCTGTAACTTCACAGATTCCTGTGCGTCTACGCCTGGGAGGATGCTAAGGAAAAGGTCCTTATAATGCAAGCTGGGACTATGAGCAGCATCTTTATAAGCTTCTTTCCAGAAGATATTTCGCTATTATGAAAACTGCATTAAAGCAATTTAACTCCAGACGTATGTTATTTCTCATAAGGATGATATTAATCTTTTTATATGACCTCTAAGATGGCGCTGTTCAAGTTGTATAAGGTATTTCTCCCGCTTTCCTAGCGTGCCTTCGTGGTGTAGTGGTTGTGAAAACTGGGCCGGTATTCCAGAGTTTCGCGGCTCGATTCCCACCGAAAGCGGTTGCTAATTTTTCATCTCTTCGGCTTTTCCAATTTACCTAATGTCTCTACGGTTGATTCCGTTAAAAACTGTTAACATGTCTCCCGAACCTCATGCACTGTACTAAAAGCGCTTCTACAAAATGGCGAAGATTTTGCTAACTACATAAATATTATGGAAAGTTACACAATGCATAAGCTGAAAGCCGAAACCTACATATGAAGCTCGTAGCCCAACGTATCTGAACTTTTGGAAAACACTCATCTTAAGATAGGGTTTATATTTATTTTTTTTAATTAATTAAAGATTTTGGATGACCTGCACGAGTGTGTATTAAAGAAAGACCCAAGGGTCTCTTCTTAATACAGACTCGCGTGACAATGGCGAAAATTGCCGAATCTTTGCGTTAAAATTTATTAATAATCAGGAGATAATATTTCTTAAAGAAATAAAATCAAAAGAAAAATTATTTTCAATTTCGTATCACACTCTCGAGTAATAAAAGTTTTATATTAATGAAAATAAATTGATATGATATGTACTTACGGAATGGGTATAATTTTTTCTGTGATGTGGTGATGCTCTTTCTTTGAACCCATAGGCATGGGTATAGGAACAGGGTAATATTCATGGCCTCCTCCTCCACCACCATGATGTCCTTCTTGTTTTTGTAATACTTTTGCTACAATACCTGCGGTGAGCAATTCTATAAGCCGATTCCCCCCTTGGTGATGACCCTTATTTCCTCGTCCCCCTTCGCATGATTTGGAGCAAAACACCACTACCGCTAGAAGAACTGTTAGAAGCCGCCACGTCCAACCCATCTGCAAAGAAGTTTTAATTTAGCATTGTGAGAATGAAATAAGAATTTATCATTTTGAGTCTGAAATCAGAATTTATTATTCTGAGCACGAGATTAGAATTTTGAACATGAAATAGGCATTTAAGTATGAAAAAATAATTTAGCATTTTGGATTTAAAATAATCATTTAGCATTTTGAATACGATTACGTACTCAGCATTTTGAGTTGGAAATAAGCACTTAGCATTTTGAGTACGAAATAAGCACTTTGAGAATGAAATAAGCATTTTGAGTATAAAATAAGCATTTATCATTTTGAGAATGAAATAAGCATTTATTATTTTGAGTATGAAATAAGCATTTTGAGTATAGAATAAGTATTTCTCATTTTGACAAGGAAATAAGCATTTCTCCTTTTGAGAATGAAATAAGCATTTATTATTTTGAGTATGAAATAAGCGCTTTGAGAATGAAATAAGCATTTTGAGTATAATATAAGCATTTATCATTTTAAGAATGAAATTAGCATTTATTATTTTGAGTATGAAATAAGCACTTTGAGTATGAAATAAGCATTTTTAGTATAGAATAAGCATTTATCATTTTGAGAATGAAATTAGCATTTATTATTTTGAGTATGAAATAAGCACTTTGAGAATGAAATAAGCATTTTGAGTATAAAATAAGCATTTCTCCTTTTGAGAATGAAATAAGCATTTATTATTTTGAGTATGAAATAAGCGCTTTGAGAATGAAATAAGCATTTTGAGTATAATATAAGCATTTATCATTTTAAGAATGAAATTAGCATTTATTATTTTGAGTATGAAATAAGCACTTTGAGTATGAAATAAGCATTTTTAGTATAGAATAAGAATTTATCATTTTGAGAATGAAATTAGCATTTATTATTTTGAGTATGAAATAAGCACTTTGAGAATGAAATAAGCATTTTTAGTATAGAATAAGCATTTATCATTTTGAGAATGAAATTAGCATTTATTATTTTGAGTATGAAATAAGCACTTTGAGAATGAAATAAGCATTTTGAGTATAATATAAGCATTTATCATTTTAAGAATGAAATTAGCATTTATTATTTTGAGTATGAAATAAGCACTTTGAGTATGAAATAAGCATTTTTAGTATAGAATAAGCATTTATCATTTTGAGAATGAAATTAGCATTTATTATTTTGAGTATGAAATAAGCACTTTGAATATGAAATAAGCATTTTTAGTATAGAATAAGCATTTATCATTTTGAGAATGAAATTAGCATTTATTATTTTGAGTATGAAATAAGCACTTTGAGAATGAAATAAGCATTCTGAGTATAAAATAAGCATTTATCATTTTGAGAATGAGATAAGTAATTATTATTTTGAGTATGAAATAAGCACTTTGAGTATGAAATAAGCATTTTGAATATAGAATAAGCATTTATCATTTTGAGAATGAAATTAGCATTTATTATTTTGAGTATGAAATAAGCACTTTAAGTATCAAATAAACATTTACCATTTTGAGTATGAACTCATTTGGAGTATGAAATGAACATCTAAGTAGGGAAATATCATTTAGCATTTTGGATATTAAATAACCATCTAGCATTTTGAGTATGAAATAAGTACTTGAATATGATACATGCATTTAGCATTTTGAGTATGAAATACGTATTTGAATATGATACATGCATTTAGCATTTTTAATATGAAATAAGCATTCAGCATTTTAAGTATGAAATAATTATTCAGCATTTTAAGTGCGAAATAAGCATTTTGAGTATGAAATAAGCGTTTTGAGTATGAATGAAGATTGAGTATTTTTAGTATGAAATAAGCATTTAATTTAGCATTTTAAGTATGAAAATAGAAATTAGATCAGAACAGCAAACATTATGTTAATCATTGGTAGTTAGCTGCAAGTTTGCTGTACATTGCTCTTGATTTCCTTGAAAAGAATTTGTTTTACAAGTATCCTTCTTATGGATATTTGAATAGCACATCATATTTAATTTTTGAAAGTCACATCATCGAGTCAAATGACATGAAGTGTTTTCTATCATGAACGAGCTATTACAGAAGTAACGCGATTTTACCATGTTTTTCGTAAACATAACAGCCGAATTTCACTTTAGAATGCACAGAATATAATTTATTTTGAACGATTCTTATTTTTAAACGGATTTCATTTTCCACTTGCTTGTTATGGCAATATATTATGAACCTCGAATGGAATTATCCGTAAGGTAATTTAGTATTTCAAAATTCATAGAAGATACTACTACAGGAAAAATATATTCCCTAAAACCTTGCTTCAGTACAAAGTAAAAGTACGTACATTAGAAGTTTTGAACCAGCAGCAGACAACAGTTATGCTTCAGGGTAACACAGAATTTATTGATAATTATTTTTCTAAATTTGATTTTTACTTCATTCGGCGAGAGTGTCATAATCATATTGCGCAATATAGACTAAATGAGGTAAAATTCCTAGTAATTAATAAACTAGGATCTGACTTTACACATTATTAATTAGGGAACGTATTTGCGGTTGCCTGAAAATTTATACTACAAAGCAAACATGAAAATTAATTTTTTAACATCTAATTGGTATGTTTCAATGGGAATTTTTGGTTGTGCTGAACATATTCAAACAATATTTTGTTTTCATATATGTAATGTAGATCATGTGTGATATGATTGTAACAAATGATGTATTTTTGCAATAGATGACTAAGCTTCATAAGTTAGCCGAAAACTTCATTGAAGTACAGTAAGACCCCGCTTAACGCTGTTTCGGTTTAGCGCTCTTTTATTTCAACCCGGGGATTCCACGAAATCGCTCGCAGCATACGGGGATTCCCCGAAATATTATGCAGCGATAGGTTTCAAATACATATCCGAAAGAGTGTACTTGTATTTCTTGTTTGGTGCGGTATTGTACAGACATATTTTGAAGGGGTAAATGTGGAAGATGTCGAAGAAATAATTCAAGAAGCAGCGGCTAGTCTTTCTAATGATGAGCTCAAGGAATTAACTGAACAAGAAGAAAACAAAAATGTTGACAGCAGTGATTCAGAAGAAGAGCAAAAAGAACTTTCGATGGCGTTTGTAAAAAGGAGTTTGTCTACCATAACTGAAATAATGGATCAATTCATTGAAAATGATCCGAATTTTGACAGGAGCTCAAAAGTAAGGCGTAGTGTTAGAGAGATGCTCTATCCGTTTATGAAGAACTTTTAAGAGAACAACGCAAAAGAAAAAGGCAAACGACATTAGATGCTTTTGTCACAAAAAGGCAGAACACTGAAAACGCGGAAGGCTAACTAAATATGACTGACTTAAAATTTTATTTGTTTTTTTTTTAAGAATATTCGTTTTGTTATTTATATTTTGTTTTTTATTTTTGCAAGAAATAATAATATGGTATTAATTTGGGCTTTAAGAAATAAACGTTTGATTTTATTTTTATTAAAGAAACATACTTTTTTAATTTAATACCTAACCAATTTCCTAGCCATCTTGCCCTAACCCCAATATTTACATGTAAAGATAGCCTCGTTTAGCGCTGTTTCGCATTACGCTCTACTTTGATGGAACGTATCCCCCCGCGTTAAGCGGGGTCTTACTGTATTATAATAAATTTAAATTATGCGTGCTACATGACACCTACTTCGCTGCTTGTTGCATTGTTGCTATCATCATACGGACTAATTGGTCATGCACGCTGGCTTTTGTTACTTCTGAGCAAAGCGCATATCAAAATTATTTTTCGCATCCCTACAGACAAATCTTGAAGCTTTATCCTTATTTTAGAAAAACATTAAGAGTGACATAAGATAAAGCAAAATACCGTGTTTTAAAATCAAATCCATATTTTTCGAGGACGCTGTATTTTGAGTATATTGAAAAAAAAAACTGAGTTAAAGAAAATAAGACTTAAATTAGAATTTCGTAAAATGTTATACTACGAATCGAAAGAGAAGAATGAAATAAGTGTTGTTTACGAGTCTGGTGTCATTGGTAATATGGTCCAAGTCATTTGGTTTTCCCAGATCAGCAATATCAATAATGTTTGATAAGAATAAACGAGATCAAAATTGAGCATATAAATACAATATTGGACTAAACGTAAAAACTGGATATTTTCTACCGATATTCATTTCATTAGCACCCTCGGTGACGTCTTGTTTGTTGTTGCTAATGCTCACTTGTCTGACCTGTTGTCAGCATATGCCCACGAGATTCCTCGTGGCAAGGAGCGAAAGTGTACGTCTGTCGTTGGCAACAGGCTTGAGCACGTTACAGGTGACAGTGCGATTTAGCTCAGTTCCCCACCCCCCAATTTTGATGGAGAGCACTCTGGGGAAAGGGTTCCAGCGTCTCCCATACCTCTTCCTCTACCACAACCTGTCGATAGGACTTTTGACTCGCCACGTATTTAGAGTGTGCCCCGTACCGCACCGACACTATGCAGTTACAAACATCCATGCCTTCTCCAAGATTCGAACCAGGCCCTTCGGCACGACAGTCAACGACGCTAACCACTATACCGTTTGGGCGGCCTCAGTGCCATCTTCATAAGTATTATGAGCACTGTTTAGGACGTCCGCTAGAACAAGGATCCCATAAATTTGCAAATTTGCTGTTAATCTTGAAATAGTTGGTATGGGTAAAGAGTTCAAATCTCTGCAAAAGACCCAAAATCCCATGATTCTGTGCGTTGGCCTTAAAACCCTTTCACACACTGCCTTCCCAAAATATTGTCTAATATTGCACAGGAACTGGTGTGAGATCTTCTGGTTTAAACTCTGTCCCTCTTGCTTCAACACTCGAAATGAGTGCTGGTGTCTTATGTACTGAAGATCATACTTCTGATACCGTGCTCAGTGACATGGTCGTGTCGACATTACAGCGGTTAGACATTAGCGGTTAGACAGCGGTTAGACATTACAGCGTCCAAATACCTGTCTTCATTTGAGAGAAGTATAAGTTAACTATTGGGAATATATAACTATT